ATAGAAGAGAGTGACAGAGCAAGAGACCGGACAAAAATAAATCTTGGCCTGGCTTTTACTTGTTGGTAAGCTAAAAGGATACGAGACCGATGCTGAACTGGCCTTGTTCCTGTTGCATTTGTAAGTAATAACATATTAGCTGTCTTACCTGTCAGACAACATGGTTCTTTCATTTCTGATGATGTCTTTGCTGGTTCTGTGCCTTTCAGCTAGTCAACAAATGCATGTGTAGCTGTCAATGAGAGGGGCTCAAATTTGTATTTACCATAGTGGTGGCAGTCTGATTCTGAGCATGTCTTGTTTGAACTGCTGTAGTCTGAAGCTTAGATTCCATATATGAGTGAGGAATGAACAGTACATTTTGAAACTTGAACGAAAAAGAAAAAGAATGTTTACACACTACATCTTTTTTGTCAATTTCAAAAAAAGTGAGGAGAAACGGTTTTTACTTGTTAGGTCAGTTAGTCATTAGGATGAGTCTCTCAAGGTCAGCTCAGCTCCAGTCAACAGCTGACTAAGGCCATGAACTCCACCAATGTCATCAGAGATATCAGGACAAGGAGGAAGAAGAGCGAGGAGTGAGAGAGTAACTGATGAAAAACAGATGAAAGGAGAAGACAATGTCAGGACAAACTGTGTTCAGCAATTAGGGAAATGAAATGGGGTAAAGGAGGGAAGGAGAGAAAGCGGGAGAGACAGTTGGGAAGAGAAAGAGAGAGAGAGGGAAAGGAGAGAACAAAGAGAAATGGACAGAAACTAGAAAGGAAGAAAGAATAGAGGGGTATAGAAAGAAAAAGACAGTAAGAAAAAGAAAAAGGAGAGGGAGAGAAACAAAGAATAGACAGAAAGGGAGAAAGAAAAAGAAAAAGGGAGAGAGAAGAAAAAAGGAAAAAAGGTAGACGGAGGGAAAGAGAAAGGAATAGAGGGAGAGAACAGAAAGGAGAAAAAAGAAAAGAAAGAAAAAAGTCAGAGCTCTAGAAAGCTACAGTTGTAAGGGGTGCAGTGAATAGGCAGAACTGGAGTCTATAAACGCTTTTGGAGGGCGGTGAAGGGGTCGGCCAGCCCTAACGAAGTTTATAGCCTATTGTGTTACAGCCCACTCCACTCGGCCATTTAAAGTGAGAGCGGTGAGTGTGTGTGTGTTAGAGGGTGCATTCAAGGAGGAGTAGAATGGGATGTTTAATCGAACCCATCTAGAACGGTTAACAGCATAAGAAAGAAACCACACTATTCACTCCTCTTACCCACAGAACAAAGCACGCAGTCAGAAAACACACAAAGCACTGAGGAGAGAATCACTAGAGGCCCCACGATACAATATCACAATACTTCAGCCACGATACGATTCTATGGTGATTTTTAAGACTAGCGCTATTGTGACAGTATAACATTGCCAAATATTGCACTATTTATCACTGACTTCTCAGCAGAAATTGTCAATTAAACTTCTTAGTAGGCAGGCAGGCAGACAGGCTGCTAATTCATTTGAATTGCCTAGACATGGAAACTACATTTATTAAAGGAATGGGAGCTAATATAAACAAACAGGCAGCATAGACTATATTCATTTACTACTTGAGAGAAAAACTTTTAATGATAAGGTAAAAAAAAATCAAAATAATGACTCCGTAGAATGAATAATAAACTCAGCATTTTTAAAATGGGTTTCTTCCCTTGACACCCTCCAACCAAGAAATCCTCACCATTAGTTGGCTTAACTCTCAGTCTCATTTTGTTCACCCCCTCATCTAACCAAATTATATAAACTTGAAAATTATATATGTTTCATTATTAATGCACGGAGGAAAACAGTCTTTAGCCCACAGCTATGATTCAAATGTCCAAGTCATTGTCATCACAGAAATTAAAACACTTTGTTTCGTGCCATTTTTTTTTTTGAGTAGACCCAAACACTGCAATGCTCATCTCTTCTTCCATTTTCACGTAAAAGGAACAGGTCTTCAGGAGGAATCAAAGCACCACGTGACACACAGGTGTGAAAGCGATGTGTAACACGGGCGTTAACTGAACGTGAGAACCATGTGTTACACGTTGGTACACAGACATGAGAACAATGCGTTACACGGACGTTATATGGATGTTACAGGAACGAGAGAACTGAGTTACAAGGACGTTATGCAAACATGAGAATGATGATTTACATGGACGTTACACAGACGTTGCACTAAAATGAGACAATGTGTTACATGGACAGTACACGAATGAGAGAACAATGTTACGTGGACATTAAATGAACGTGAGAACCATATGTTACACAGTCGCTACAAAGATTGAGAACAATGTGGTACATGGTCGTTACACAGACGTGAGAACAATGTGGTACACAGACGTTACATTGACATTACACTTACATGGAGTACACCCATGTGAAAACTGTTATAGTGACGTTCCACAGACGTGAGAACAATGTGTAACAAGGATGTTACAGAAACGTGAGAACAATGCGTTACATCAATATTCCACAATTGTTACACGGACATGTGAACGGGGTTACATATTGTTCTCATGTCTGTATAACATCTGTGTCACACATAAGAACAATGTGTTAACACCGTTGTTACATGGATGTAAGGACAATGTTACATGGACATAACATAGATGCTATGCCCACATTACACAGCCAGCAGCACTATGCTGCCTGTTTTTTATGCTTTCGTCACCAGTGGTGTGTACAAACAACAGATTTTGGTATTCTATTAGTATACCAATGGACCTCACAATAGAACATTAGGTATTAATTAATAAAATTAATCATCAATACTATCTCTATCAATACTAATTTTCAATCCTATGTTGTACTGATATTTCTCTTCCACCCCTAGAAGGCACATTTATCATGCTGGAGCCAAATAATTACAAGGGAACACAACTTTAAGAAAAATGCCTTTATTTTACAACTTTAAAAAGCAATTTAAAGCACAAAGATTGAACTCTTATATAAACTTTTTTTCCTGCATAAAAATGGTGGCATGTGCACATTGTGCTTGCATTGCAAACTCTGTCCAGCCTGTCGGGGCTCTAGCGTTCTCGGCCGTCCAGCTCAGCGGTTTATTGCATACGTCACACGTGTGACGCCGCACGTGTCTGCTTCCAGGACCGTGCAGAGGAGGAGGAGAAGGAAGAGTTGAAGAAATGGAAAAAACACACACACAAAAAGAACCCAGAACAAATCAAAAATTACACAGTGAACCACAGTAGCAGCTCTCAAAAAGAAGGCGTTGCACGTCGTCCAGAGAAAAATTAAAATAATTACAAAATAAAAGAAAGTACGATTAGAATAAATTAACAGAGGACACTACAGTTGTGCTTTAATGCTGTTTGACAAACAGCTTACCCTAACGCAAACAATAACCCCCTTTCAATACAACTCAGTCTTATATGAAATATAGCTTCCCATGACAGATACGCTGCCCTAAGCTTCTGTGTTTCCCTTTGAAATACGTAGTATTGAGCGCTAACCAAACAGTTGCACACATCCCCATAGACAGCTGTGATTACAATATTCTCCTCTGTTTCCCTCTCTACTCTATAGAAATCTAAGCATATAAAACTAAAGAGCATTACAAGGCATTTTCCCCTGTGACGGAAGGCAAGTTCATCCTTGTACACACATTCCTATTTATGTCATAGCATCTCTCCATTTAAAAAGAGAAAACTATACTCTCTGTGGATTTCAGCACACATCACTTCAAAAAGGAAAACTAACAAAACTAAAACTTTGAAGACTTTGGTATGAACAAAACAAGCAATACAGTCCCTCATGGTAACTTCATCATTACTTCCCTTTTAAGAACATACTGCCTTTTTCCTCTCTTTTATGTTGTCCCGTTAAGTGACAAGTATGAAATGTGCATAGAAGTATTCATGAGATAAATGGTTATGCTAGAACTCTGCTAGCAAAACATGATCGAAGGAAAAAAGAACCTTCATATAGAAAAAAAAGGCTCTAGACAACACCTGAACTGCCCGGCAAACAGCAAGCAACAAACTCCTAGGTCTGCTGAGAAGTGTCCGTGTTTCTTGTACAATCCTTCCTCAGCTTGTCAGTGTGTCTTTTTTTTTTAAAGCCAACGCAGCTGTTAGTGTCTGCTGGGTAAAGCGGCCACTGGGCAGTATGTTGTGAAAGAATACTGCATCTCTGCATGCTGGCAGACCATGGCACTGGGCAGAGCTCACCAGGGTAAAGGTTCTGCTACTGAGGTCAAGAGGCCAGCGCCTCTGAAGACCATGAGATGAAGAGATCAAATGCTTACACACGAACACACACACTCTGGAAAACATTGCAGTTTCAGCTAGTGTAGGCTAGGCTAGACAGGGCTAACTCAGGAATATTGGATTCATTTATCTATTATCAGACCAGTTTGCAATACCTGTTTAAAAGAATGTCCCAATGTTTTTAAACCTGTCCATTTGCCACATCTGCAGTGTACATTATATTTCCTTGGCCGGTAATTCTGTTGTGTGTCCCTATTCTTAGAAAAGACCAGTAAACTCGACTTAAGCCACACTTCTAACAGAGGTCAGTGGGAAGCTGCTGAATTATGTGAACAAACCTTTGAAATAAGTGACTATATTGTGACTATAAAAAAAAAAACCCAAAAATACAAATCGACACTAACAATACAGGTCCTAAGATGATACAGAATTGAGTGTCCCCCAGCAAGTTTACTTTAATTTTACCTAAGATTTTCAGGCATTTATGGCGCTCAGTAAGGAACTGAACCACATATATATATTGGGAATAGATCCACCTAATTATAAATTTCTGTAGGTTTACTGAAACAACATCATAGCCCAGCATTACCTAAACCTTCTGCTCTTCAGATGTCCAATATATATACAATTAAATTGCTGCTGTCGGAACAAAACTTTGTATCTCTATTTTTCAGTTTTTGACATAATTGGAAAATGCCTGTCGCCCTTTATATTATATTATACTTACAATAAAAGTAAGTGGTTTTGTTTCCGACAGCGAGGTTTTGTTCCGACAGCAGCGATGTACTGGTCAAATCTAAACATCTGTCCAATGCTGATGAGTTTCAAATTTTTCTTTCTTCTTCTTCTTCTTTTTTTTCTATAGCAAACATCTGCCGATTCGTATATGATTCTGATATCATCGGGCATCACTAAAATATGTATTTTGCATACACGTTTATTTCTAGAATTAAGCAACTGCCCACTGACTAATGTTTTAAGTGTGATTTTGTAAAAACAGGCTTTCTGTTCGTTTTTAAGTATTGGAAACCATAGAAACTTGTTGTCTGGTAATCAACCATATAATACGCTGGAATTGCTATTTCCATATTTCCATATGCTGAAAATGTATCTAATTTTGAAAACAGGAGGAGAAATCAAGCTTTCCAACACAAAGACATTAATTCAATTTTTAAGCTTATTTGATAGTGGTTATAAGCACTAAATAGTAATTGTTTTGACAGGTTATTGGAAACAATTACATTTCTCATAAAATAAGGGAAACACTTTTAGCCCTTGCAGGCCATTTCACAAAGAAAATATATTTTTCTTTGCTCTGAACAACGTCTGGGTGGTCTGTAGTGTACTGTACGAACCATATACTTCAGTTCAAGAAGCTGTTTTACAGATGTTTTAAAAATGCCCTCCTGAGAACATGAACTCAGTTTATGATGTAAACTGATGAGTTAACATATAGATGAAAAAAAGGAAATGGCCCGTGCTACAACATCGCAATCATTACACAATAAAATTCCCTTACATACGACTAATTAAGTCTGGTCACTGCAAGAAGGCTGAGTAAAGAGAAAAAAAAAATAAAAAAAATAAGTAAACCATCCAATAACCCCAGTAAACTATCATAACTGCATTTGTAAAAGCATTCTCACCACACACATGCTATGCAAGTAAAGTGCATGACCAGTTTACACACAGAATCCAAATGAGGTTTGAAGTCATTGATAGGAAGTTAACTCTCACTCCTCAAATCAGCATGAAGCTGCTCTAGCACTCCATGCCATTCTGACTGTTGTCCTCAGTGTTTTATGAGGACACCTATGAGTTTCCTCTGGCAGCCTGCTGCTCTTACTATGTGGTTAAGGTTTACGGTTCTTGACGTTGGGGAATGACAGCAAATGGTCAGTTATGCTACTAAGATTTTTCCATACAGCCCCAGACTCTGCAGTAAGTTATTCTGAATTAGAGGACCAATGTAAAATTCACTGACTCACACTGTCGCTACTGCAGTTTACAACCCTAAATAAACTTGTGGATTTAAGACTCAATCACAGACCAGTTCAGAAAATTCAGCTTTGGTGGGATCCTAGAAACACTGTTTTGATTTCTTTTCATAAATGGAGTTCTCTTCATAGTATTTCACATCCCTTGGTACTAGAAGGCCAACGGACAAGAATTTAACCCTGGTGTGATCCCTCTATACTTTCTTCAGTAAAGTCCAGTTTTTGTTCTTCTGTGCTTTTGTAATTCAATCCATTCAAATGAGAATAAGGAATCTGCCAAGTTGAATAAGCAAATTATGACCTTAGTGAGTAAGGATAACTGCATGAGAAAACTGTTCAGCATCATTTTAAATTCTTACCATTACACACTTGGTGACCATCCATAACTCAGCACAAACACACATTAATGGTTTGGCACAAAATCATATTTACACAATTTTCCACTTCCCCTAGATGTACTGGATCAAAGACATGTTTGGTGTCCAAATTTGAGGCTAATGTTGCTAACAAACACTAGAAGTCAATAGTCACCCAAAGCTTTTCTGTAAATACACCCCCAAAACTTCTCTCAACCTCCTTACACTACATCCAGATCTCATCAATGTGGTTTAGGACACAGTACGACTTGGTGTAAACTATGAAACTGAACAAAAACTGCAGACAGCATATGCTGCAGTCAGCCTATTCAGACAACAGGTGTTCACCAAATTCCGACTCCCTCCGTGCCACGGACCCCTCCCCGGTTGCACACATCACTCTGGCAATATGGATGCTAGATTACATTTGTGATTTCTGGTGTTTCTATTTATAAGCATATCTTCTGTTAGAAAATTCAAGATGAACGGTTAGTTATAAATAAAAACAGCAGAAATTGTGAATGTACTCTGTAGCATCGATATGCCTGCATGACGAGTGCGCATTAAGGGGTGACGGAATTCAGCACAACACTTCTCGTCTAAAATGGCTGTCCGCTACGGTTAGCTTCATGGCGAAGTCTTGTTTGTTTTTATAGTAAGTCATACTCTGTTGTAAACTACATCAGCAAGTCTGCACCACCTCAGTGAAGACCTGGTTTGAGAGGGTGTTTTGGGCATTTATTTATACAAAATATTTGGGTGACTACTGAGCTACCAACACTGGCCTCGTGCTCCAGCGCTGAGGTAACGAAGCCAAATTGGGACACCAAATATGTCTTGGCTTATCAAAAACATCTGGGATAAGTAAAAAAAAAAAAACATGAATTTGGTTTTTACCAATCCATTCCTTTAAAATCCAGTTCAGACAGCAAGCAGTGGATATTATACTTCAAGACTGTACCTTTTGAACAGGACCTGTTTCTCACAGCTCAGTGCACTCAGAAGGTCCAGCTGGACCTGGCCCAAGCAGGGCTGGGAGGACACAATTTAATTGTGATGCCTGAGGTTTGTTACTGAGGTGAGGACCTATGAGATCCCAGTGCATGGTACTGGGATATTTTTGGCTAGAAATGAATTGGAGGGTTTCCTTCCCAAGAGGTCAGCCATAGCCTCGAAAGAATAAAGACTGAAAGCATCTCAAAACTTGTTCTTTTAAAGATGCTGGATCAACTTTATGATGGGTAAATGGGTGAGGCCACTCTTAATAAATGCATCTGTATCTTCTTAATGTCATCAAACCAAATTGGGTTTAAAGTTATTTTTAGGAAGTAAGCTTTCAGTCCTCAAATGTAGTGAAAAATGTCATTACGGCTGTTTTTTTGTATCTTGCTTCTGTCCATTTCTGGCCAAATTATTATTACATTTTGTGGAGGTCTAATTATTGAACAGTGCTTATTTGCTTATCCCACCATGCTGCCACAAGAAGAAAGAGAAAAATTTGGAAGAAAGTTGTGAGAGTCATTGTGTTATCCTTAATCCTGACTGAAGTGTGTCCAAACATAGCTAATCTTACTGGGCACATCTCTCTCTCTCAAACCTGGAGATTAAAGAATCCCCCGCTCCATTCCATCACACACAAACAAACAAACACACACACACACACACACACACACACACACACACACACACACCCTGCAAGCAGTCACATTTGTACTTAATTAGAACCTCTAGCACAGAAATGACAAGCACTGCAATTACAGTTTTAAACCCCCCAAAAACCCAAGAGGTCAGCCATAGCCTGTGGCTGGAAACTGCAGCAGGCTCTAGCTAGCTGGCTGAGGACTTTAACCCCAGTGCCAACTGCTCAAGCTAACTCTGCTCCCCCACATGGAGCCAAACTGTTCTGGCTGAGTCCTGGGGTTCTGTTTTCTGACCATTGCTCATCGCACTGGCACTAGTTGTGCTTGGCTCGGCCGCCTTTCAGGTAGCTCTTCCAGCGCTTGACAAAGTCCCTGAAGATGGGTGAGTTGTCTATGGAGGCAAGCAGCTGCAGCTGGTTGATGTGTGTGGTGTGGTAGTCCCAGCGGGCTAGGTTGGGCGCAATGCCCAGCATGAAGTGGCGCAGGTCATAGATGGTGCCCGAACCTGTGTCGTACAGGGGCACCATGGCTTTGAGGGACTCCATGCCTTTGCTGTACAGCTGGGCTGCCTCTCGCCCGTCCTTGTCCCCTGCCGTCTGGGCCAGGTCGTACAAGCCAATAAGCGAGTAGATGAAGCCGTTGAGGACGAAAGAGCTAGGCGTGGTGGGATATTCCTCATACCAATCGTACTTGTTCATAAAAACTGCTTTTACCCCATGCTGTTCTGAGGGCAGCTTGTACGGGCCCGTGGCTTTTAGGGCTGACTTCAAGTAAGTTTCATCCTTAGTTAGCAAGTAGGCCCGCACTAGAGTGGACATGGCTTGACCCTGCGCCATGGCCGAGTACCAGCCTGGCTCCAGGGGCCGGAAGCCCTCGCCTAGCTTGCGGGTCACCATGATAGGCCACCCGCCCCGCTCATCCTGGTTGCGCACCAACCAATCGCTGGCGGCAAAAAAAGCGGCCATGTGAGAAGTGGTGGAGATGGTGATGTTGTCAATAGCTCCTCGACCTCGGAGTACAAGCTTGACCACACGCCGCGGCATGGTCTTGGTGGCTTTGACTGCTTTGGTGTTGGACAGGCCAATACCCTTGCGGAGGTCGGTGAGGAGGTCACGGGTGACCGTTGTCCACGTTGTCCGAGGGCCGATGCCATAGGTGATGTCTCTCTCTTTAAAGGCGATGAGCTGAGTGGAGGTGACGTAATGGATCACGAACGGAGGCCCTTTCTCTGTCGTTTCCAAGACAACAGACACGCTTCCATTGAATGTGAATTTTATGTCGAAGGAGATGATGAAGTCCTTTGTGTTGCCGAGAGGAAGAGAGATGCCCTCTGTGTTCTCTGTTAAAGAAATTTAAAGAATTCTGCTGTTAAAACACTTTAGCTAACAATTTCTCACTTGCTTCTTTAACAAAGCACAAACACATATTTCTTCATTGTCTAATTGCATCAGAATTAAGTCTTCAGGGTGCTGGGTTCACATGTGTCACCGTTCCCAGCAGTTAATTAGACTGAGAGGAAGAACTAGGAGAGAAAAGACACATTTGGCAGAGATCCTAATATGAGAGAGGAAAAAAAATGCTTTTCAAGTGTGCAGAAGTGGTGGCTCATCATTTCTTCATAACAGACACGGCACTGCAGTTCACATTACCAGCTTCTAGTTGGGCAAGCCTCAAACAGCCTATCATCTCTCTCTCAATCTAGGCCTGCTGAAATGCACACTCGATGTCTTACCCAAAATTCAGCTCTCACTATTAAGCTTGATTTATACTTAAGCATCTGTTCTTGCCTGCTGTTCCCTTATTCTCTGGTAACTTCTAGTCCAGACTCAAAAGGAAAAACAAAGAGGCTTTAGAGCTTTTCTCAGATAGATAGGGGAGAAAACAGAAAAAAGAGCTTGGAAGAGGCAAAAAGAAATAGTCAGGGAGAAAGATAAGGGATAATTTCAAGAATGTGGTGAAGCATAGTCTGGCTTATATATATATTGGTACTACTGTTTAATACTCGTAATACTTATAAATCCATTACTTAAGGCAATGCAGAGAGTAAGTGGATTTGTACCGCATTCCTCTGATTAACCCCAGTCAATAAAGGATCAGTGGAGAACAAAATGAGAAGAAAAGAGTGAAAAGAAAGGAAAGAGTGGTGAGAGAAACAGGAAGAAGGGGAATATGAGAGAGAGAGAGAGAGAGAGAGAGAGAGAGAGAGAGAGAGAGAGAGAGCGCGACAGAGAGAGAGAGAGAGTGACAGAAAGAGAAAGAGAGAGACTGAGAAAGAGAGAGAATGAGAAAGAGAGAGAATGAGAAAGAGAGAGAGCGAGAGAATGAGCATTAGAGAGACTGGAGCGCTGGATCCAGTGTGTCCCAGCTGGCCTTGCTCAAATCAATGCTCTAGGTGATGACACCAATTACTGCTGGACAGCACAATAGCCCAGCTAATTCTAATGGCTATTGATTAGATCAGTGCTAAAAAGCCACACTGTATTATTAACAACAAAATACATATTGGTGGCCAACAGGGGAAGCAGAGAGCTGGCGCTTCCAGCAGAGCGGTAGAGGTCCTGGCTGGTGTCTGGCTGGTGTGTGTGTTGGCTTTAACAGGGTGTAGATATTGATTTTGTGGGAGAAACTATAAGATGCAATGCAAAGCTGCTGATTGGGGAAATAAATGAGGACAATAACCAGAGGGGAAATTACAAGGAGAAGCAGAGGGACCTGATGAAACATGCGGTTCAGGGAGGAGCTGAGGTGACAGAAAAAGTGGAGAATAAAGAAAGAAGGAGCAGAACAAGATCTCATATTGTAATTCTAATTGAATATAATACATTCTAAGATGATTATAATACATTTCTGACACAAAATTAGAGTAGATTTTCAGTAGAGGAATCAGAATGGAATGCTGAAAGACAGATACCAAACCTTGGTCTTGTAGTCTTGCACATTTTAGTGTATTCCCTGCTCTAAAATAGCATCAAACACAACAGAATAGAATAGAATAGAATAGAAAAAGACAAAAATACAGATGAATACAAAAAGAATATAACAAGAAAAACAGAAAGGGAAAGAGGGTGCTACAAGGCCTCCCTCCGCTGGTACCTGTGGTGCTGAATTGGCGGACAGATGATAAGCGGGTCTTGTCATAGCTCCTGGTCAATGAGCAGCCTCTGGGCACGCTCCATGCGCTAGGCCTGCTGTCCCGCTCCTCAGCCGTATCATACACCTCGACATGGGGTGCCCGCTCTGTCAGGTTCTTGCTGTAGTGGCTCAGGCCGTACTGCGCTATCTGAATGGCATAGAAATAACCCTGAGGGCCCCACTGGGTGGACAGGGGCACTCCTAAAGAGGAGAGAGAGAGAGAGGGAGGGTGATATAGAGAAAAGGGTGAAAGACATTTGTCTTCTGGCATGAAGTCATCAACCTGAACCATATCAAATAGCTACACATCCTGTTGTGACTGTGTACCGAAGCACAATAAAACATGAAAACTAAAAAACTGTTTTATCTCAACAGTCACCAGGAAAAGAGCTGATCCAGTCAGCTACAACTTTAGTCTTACCACCTTAACCTAAAGTGCCCATATCCTGTTGAATGAAACTTAGAAAAAAATAGCTGGTTTTGAGCATTGGGAATGGTAAGGTAGAAGGCAGGGTCCAACTGATACGAAAATTTGTGGCCAATACCAATTTTAGAGCATGAAAAATTCTAATAACCGATAATATCAGCCGATTTATAATTCATATTTTTTTAGATTTTAATGTTATACCCTAATAGTTTTAATTAAACAATGCTTTACTGACAGATATGACTGGCAGTTCACAGTTGTCACAGTTCTTAAACTCAAATAAACAGAAACTCACAGTCTCAAATAATAGTATTGTGGCGCTGGGTGTGAAGCTAAAATTCTTTGCTGTTTCTGCTTCAGTTTAGTACTTCTTATTTTTTCTCACTTTTCATTAGTTCTTTATTTACCTGCTTGGGACAAGGTTGGGTTTGGTTGCATTTTTACGTTTGTTATTCTAACCATGATGGCGTTTTGTGATCAGATTTACCAGTTAAGCCTGTAATGCTGTCATATAGTTATAGAGCAGGTCTCAAACTGAGTGCACTCAATAATACAATCATAATGCAAACAGCAAACTCTGATTTCTTAGAACCAAGTAAGGTCTAAAAATATGATTAAGAAATCAGATATGAAGAGAGCTGGATTATAGCTCAGTAATCAGATTTCTCAGTGCATGTAAACTCTTACTCTGATTTCATTCAGATTTCTCAGTCTGCACATGCGTGCAACAGACCGCAGTACTGGAAATAGGAAAGCAGCGTTGCCCAAGGCAGCAAAACATTTTTTGGAACAGCACTGAAACCAAAAACATACTTGACAAAATGAAGGATTTAAAAATTCTTCATCTTATAGATGATGTATGTTCATAGTGTCAGGTAAAGTGGTGCAGTGTTGAAATCCGATTACTGCCTGAGTCATGTAGACCCGGAGTTTCCCCATTATCTAATTACTCAAGTGCATATAAACGCACTGATCGGATTACTGACAAAATCTGATTTTCTGCAGTTATCGGATTATTAAGTGCATGCAAACACACTCATTGAGTTCCCCAGTTGCACATCGGTTCAAAGTTTTGCAATGTCGTTGAGAAATCGCGAGTTCAAATGCTGGTGACATGGCGACCAAGTAAGTCACTAATTATATGTGCATTATCAGCAATATTTTCATTGATATGATAAAACGGACAATATCGGCTGAAATTATAATATTAAAATATTTTAAAAGCAGCTGAAGAGCCTCAGTTTGTTATGAGGACCAAGCCCCAAAGCCGTGTCCGATGCAGCTGACCAAGGCAGGCGCCACAGCCAATGCGAGAGGAAACGGAAGTGCAGCAGGCCAGTTGGTGTTGCTAGGCTAACGGGCTATCTCAGAGGAACGGACTTGTTTCTTACATGTTTCTCCACAATTTCTCATATTTGTCTGCTCCCTTAAGAACAAACAGGACTTCAGACTATAACTAACTATAAAGCAGGAGATGAGTTTTCATTTTCACTGAAACATGGCTGAACATCCCTAAGCCATTCAGCTTAAGCAGATAACCCTAGAATGTTTTGCACTGCCTCTGTGTTACATTATCTGCACTAATAAGTGCCACACCAGTATAAAAGTTGTGACATAACTAATAACATAAATAGAATTTTAACCGTTATACAGGACGAAGCAGTATATCGCCCACTACTACTTGACTGCCAGAACCAATCAATCAATCAAAAACCAATCAAGTTACATGACGGCAGAGGAGACTGTGCAGTGATGTAACTCACTCAGAAGAATCCTCATGAGTTTGACCGCTACCAGTTACTCCGGACTTTGTGAGAGATGGAGGCTGACAGTGATGAGAAAGCTGAGGGTGAAAGATCACCTCATCTCATTCACTCTCACTCACTCTCAGCAGAGGAAGAGCTCCACTTCCAGCTTTAGAGCTCTGTTCTACAGCACAGGCTGCCAAGGCACACGGCTCAATACCGAACCAAGGGCAAGACACAGCTATACTGCAGCTTTATAACTTGGTTTGAAGTATTAGGCACACACACACACACAGAGCGAAAGAGAGAGAGAGAGAGAGAGAGAGAGAGAGCGAGAGAGAGAGAGAGAGAGAGAGAGAGCGAGAGAGAGAGAGAGAGAGAGAAAGAGAAAGCGAGAGCGAGAGAGAGAGAGATAAACACATACAGCAGAGGGGAGACACAGATAAATGGACCAAACAGCAAGCAAACACACACACTCTAATGAGAACCACTGCATTCCTCAAGGCCATTTTTGTGCACACATACAGGCTGTAAGTGGGACCCACATGAGGAGTTAAATGGAGGCCGAAGTCTGGCCTAGATTCTATTCAGAGCTCTCCATTTGTCCACTACAGGAGAGTTATCACTCAGTCTAGGAGAATCTCTCTTTCTTCCTCACGCTTCTTTAGTCATCCTGAATTTTCTCCTTCTTTTCCCCATTTCTCTCATTATCCACCTCTTTCTCTCTGTCTTTCTCTCTCTCTCCTCATTTAGCGACACAGCCTGGAGTACGTGTATGTGTGTGTGTCTTCTCTCACTCTCCAGCTCTGATAATAGGCTATCTCCTTGAGCTCCCTGCTCAGGGCTCTAATGTCTTATTACCTCTACATGAAGTGCTGCTTTTGTGTCTGAAACGCAGCTTGCGTTGAAAATAAGGAACAGAACCCCATTATTTCACAGCTGGGGCCTCTCCTTGTATGATTGGGCAAACGTTGCAGAGACTCTTGACACACATACTCTTTCCATCCTTTTCTGTTTCTCTCTGTGTCTCCGATTTCATAGGAATAACATGTATGAAACCCACTCTGTACGACTGCTCCCTACTTAGCACTGGGGCTGTCACTAGTGATCACGATAGTAATAAAGTAATTTACCAGTTATTTAGATTCATTAATTAATGTTTAAAAATCAGAGTTTTGAAAAATGCCAAATGATAAAAATTACTGCAGTAAGTGTACTTAATGCAAATACTGTAGAGATCTTCTAATTAGTGAATTCAACTACTTTAACGTGCATCAGACACAGATGTTCAATTGCCTACATACAGCTTGTACAGGGAGATTCACTCGAAAGAGGCCCCAAATATTGTGTTGTAACTCCCGTTAGGATGAAGCAATCTGAATTCAAAAAATACGCTACATACCTTGACGTATGTGTAATCGACTGCATGACATGCAATGCTGGAAGTGATCTCCGTGATCATCGCTCCGACGCAGGTGCATCCCGGCTTCTTGGAAGCTCCATATACTGAGGAGCACATTGCATGTTGTTTCGTTTAGACTGATTCGTCCTAGCGAGAGTTATTACAGAATATTCAGGGCCTCTTTCGAGTGAATCTCCCTGTATAATCTCCATAGAAAAGCACTGCAAACAGAATAAGATGCCTTGCAGCAGCTGCACATGAACCTTAGGTCAACCTTTCCAATGACAAGTGTCAGTTAGACTCCATAGTACTGGGCTGTGAAGAAGTTGAACTGCATTCTTCGAACTGATGAAGCTTAATCCAGTACGTCCAATCCAGCTGAGCTCCCTTCACACACGCTCTCTTCACCTGGGTATTTACTGGTAATTAAATGGGAAGAGGGTAGATGTGTATGAGAGCCGGAGTGGTAAAGTGAACCAGGGAATATATCTGCACGATTACATTGCCCTATTGCCCTGACCTAATCAGTACCTCAGTACCTCTGATGCCTGCAACACACACAAAAAACATTGGGACAGAGGTACGCTTACCACTCTGTTACATCACTTTTCCTTTTAATTACACCTTTTAATCATTTGGCAACTGAGGATACTAATTGTTGCAGTTCTGCAACTAGAATTTTTTCCCCATTTTTGCGTGATGCACCATACATTTTTCATTAGGAGACAGATCTGGACTACAGGCAGGCCAGTCAAGCACATGTGCTCTGCATCTACAAAGCCACGCTGCATGTGCAGAATGAGGCCTTGTCTTGCTGAAAAAAGCAGGGACGTCCCAGGAAAAGACATTGTCTTGCAGGCAGCATGTGTCTCTCTAAAATTCCAATATATGCCTCCGCATCAATAGTATCTTCACACATATGCAAGTCACCCATGCCGTGGGCACTGATGCACCCAGATACCATGATAGATGTTGGCTTTTGCACCTTTCGCTGATAAAAGTCTGGATAGTCCCATTCACCTTTGGCACAGAAAGTTCAATGTCCATTTTTCACAAAAACAAGCCGAAACACAGACTCATCTGACCACAGCACACACTTCCACTGTCTTCCAGACCATTTGAGATGAGCTCGGCCCCAGAGAACGTTTCTGCAACATTTCCGCCATGTTCTGCCGTTTCTGCATAGAATTGATGTTTGGCTTTCTCCTTGCATAACAGTTTCAAGTTGCATTTCCAAACTCACCCAGCCATGCTTTTATGGAGCTTGCTTTGTGCACTGGGGAACAGTCAAGCAAGAACAGAAAAGGGCCTTCCCTAATCTATTCCCACAAAGTTGGAAGCATAGAATTGTCCAAAATGTCTTGCTATGCTGAAGCATTATGATTTCCCTTCACTGGATCTAAGGGGTCTAGGCCAACCCCTGAAAAACAACCCTATAGCATTATCCCTCCTCCACCAAACTTTACAGTTGGCACAATGCAGTCAGGCAGGTAATATTCTCCTGGCATTTGCCAAACCCAGACTCATCCATCAGACTGCCAGATAGAGAAATGTGATTCATCACTCCACAGAATGCGTTTCCTCTGCTTCAGAGTCCAGTAGTGATGTGCTCTGCACCACTAAATTC